GATCTACCCGCTATGATAGTACTTATTCTATTTACCTAGATCATTAACCAGATACTGAATCAAGGAGTTGGTTCCAAGCCAACTATGAAGTTACCCAGACGAAAGCAGATTGACTAAAGTCTCGAAACAATTAGCTTGATAGTTGAAAGTTTTAACCACCACTCGCACACGTTTAATAGCTACTTTTCTACATTTATCCAAACCAATCAGAGCAACAAAAAGTCAGAGCATATTTATTTTTCGTATGTAATTGTATTGTTTATAATCTGTTTTGATTTTTGTAAATGTCTAATGACAGAATGTAATAATGAAAAAAATCCTATTAAAGAAAATAAGTAGCATTTTAGTAATATAGTATCATCTAGAATAATCTTTTAGTTTTCTTAAATTCTGATCAGAGAAATATAAATGATGCTATATAATAGAAACAATATTGATACAAGTACTACACATATATACTTGTATGTAAGCAAGAAATACGAACAATGGTGTATACTCTAGGTGTATGTGCACGTATCTCTCTTCTGCATGTATTTATTATTAAACACACACAGAAGTACTGTAATATAACAATCACATAGTGAGTGATTAAAAATGTATGAAAATGATGTAGCAACAAAAATAAAACTTTGGTGAAAGTGAGACATTGGACAATTTAACATTGAACTATAGTGACGGTGGTAGCTGTTACTCAACATCTTTTTCAATACAACAGACAATTGATTGTGAAATAGAGGAAAGAGAAAGTGATAGAAAAGAAGAACATACATACTTGACTATTAAGAAAAAGACCGCAGATGACTAAAAAGCTTAGAAAATGTTAAATCTATATGTATGTAATTGCGTTGATGCACAAATTGAATAAGACAGTAATAACGAAGAGAGAGAGGAGCACGATCAATACCAGGGTAGGCAATGTGAAAAAATTATTGTGTGGATCGAACACAAAATTGCATACATACTCAAAACCGGACAATGTTAACCACCTCTGGATAAAAAAAGACAATCCAACGAGAAACACTAGTGGAATAACAGGGTACTAATAATATTGGGACTTGAATAAATAAGCATTTAAAAGATGTAGATTATCAACTATGGAAAGTAGAGTAGAATAAACGAAAAGCCCAGTAAACAATTGACGCATAGAAAAAATCACAATAGATAAAAGAAAACGAAATTGTTAAGATCAAGTATTTTGTAAATTAGACAAAAACAAACAAATGACAGACTGACGTGAAAAGTTGAAAAAAACACAGAAAACCTATTCCTCACTGAAAAAATAAACAAATCTCAAATGTTAAATAAATTAATGAATAGGTAGATCAAGTCGAATCCCACAAATACAATACGTAAGCGCAGAAAGAAGCGAGTAAAGACAAATAAATAAATGAGAAACAGAAAGAAGACCAATAAGCTGTTGTTTTGTGCTAAGTTGTTATGTATTTCTGTTTGTTTTTCTTTTCGAGATACAATGCACTACCCTACCTTATTGTTAATTATTGCAACTGAGAGAAAAGTAGACATAAAAATTTCTTTAAAAATCGTATACATGGCATAAGAAACTCTAACAGTATTAGTAACAGTAATAGTGAAAATAAAATGTAAAAATAGTATAAGCACAAGATTCAATCATTGTTGATCAACTGAATCACCCATCTACTCGCACACACACACAAATAAAAATACATTGATGAACGGCTCTGGATAATAACACGAACCAGAACAGTCATAACAACAATAATGATGACTAAAAGAAAATAACTTATTAGACAAGAAGGGTGAAATGACTTGCGCATATTTTTTAAATGTTATACTTTGTTAATTAGTATAACTCAAGATAGATCCCAGTTACATGTTCCGTTGTTGTCATTACGTTATTTATTCACTGTTGTCCATTAGAGAAAGAATTTAACCATCAAAGTTAAAAATGAAACAAATCTTCAACAATACTTTCTCTCTTTTTACTTAAAGAAAGATACATATTGATAGGAAACAATAATTATTATTTAAAGAGGGTAAAAATCTTCGAGATGTGAATATAAATTAATTTGTTAGTACAATATAATAAATATGATACAACTATTTTGGTGTAGAAGTTTGAATAAAAATTAAAACTGCTGGTCGGTAAAATAGTGAACCATAGGAAGGAAACGAAAAAAAAAGAACCTGAGTGGTAAAAGACAGAAAGTGAACACATATAACATGACACTCATTAAATTATAATACACTAACAATCTTGAGAAAATACATGAACAAGTAAGTGATATTAAGCATAAATAATAATTTCAAGAAAGAACAATAGACAACAGCATACTATACATACATACACACACACATACAAGCGGGCGTGGAAACAGAGTACATAAACAATTATAATTGAATAATGAAAAAAGTAGTAAAACGATGGTTACAAAAAAAGCTTGATGATGAAAAGGACAATAATAACAATAACGGACAAACAAACAAACAGAAGTCATTAAATGAAAGACTATTGTGAACTCATCATTATTATCTTGAATAAGTGTGAAGATACATAGCTTTATTATTCCCGAAATGTGATTACATGAATGGCATTAAATAGTAAAAATGATAATGAATAACTGTGAATAGATTGATGTGCATACAGGTGTAAAATGAGTAGATCATCATCGTCAGTAAAAAATGGGAAACTATGCCAGGAAATATGATAAACATTAAAAACAATCTTTCCCTTTTATTTAGAAATAAACAGAATACATGGAACCAAAGAAAATACTCCTATTTAATATGATGTCCATAGTAGAATAAGTGCAAAAAATCGATGGTAAAAACAAGCTAGAACAATGAAAAATCATTCGTTACCATTCAAACATATCAGCTCATTAATGATAGAAGAAACAATTAGCAAAAAACGAAGAAAAGCAGATAGAAAGATAACTTTTTCAAAGAAAAGGGGCGCAAAAAAATAAAGGCAAAAGATGTATAAGTCTCTTCCTGTCTATCATCATATTAAAAAAACATACACATCTCTTTAAAAACATTTTTTCAACTAAATGAATTTGCTAATAGGAAAAATAACTAGAATTTCTATTTGAATCACTAAACAACCAAAAACAGGACAAATTAATCAGAAATTAGATACATTACACTTAAGTGAATGTATGTTTATGTAAAATATAAGACTATAATTAACACATTATTACTAACGATAATAATAATAATTGTGTCCATATCACACAATCATTCGTAATATAATTGATATAGTTATGTAGAAAAACGAACAAAAAGACGGAAAAAAAAGATAAGTATCTCTATAAATAGTGTAGGCAAAATGGGCAATGCAACAAAATGGTGGGAGACCACACACATACAATAGTAATAATAATAATAATAATACAAGACCGATACATAAGTGAGCGACAAATAAACAATAACCTAAAAGAAGAAAATCATGTAATTTGACTGTGTAAGTTGATTTGCTTCCATGTTTTTGTTCACTATGTCTCAGCATGTGTCTGTTTATAAAAAGCAAACTCAAAAAAGATTTAATTGAATAAAACAAATAGAACACAATGAATAATAGTAATATCTCTAGTAAGTTTTGGCGCTAAATTGCTATCATTAATGATAACATACTTATCAAAATGTATTTTCTCATATTCTGATTCAAATAATAATAATAACAATAATAATAATAATAACAATCATATAAACACATAACTGAAAAGATATATGCACGCAAGATATCTAAAAGATGACTTGTAAGTTAGTATGCAGTATTAAAGTTTATTGGTTAGTAGGCAGCGGTGACAGCGTCGGGAGTAATTACAGCGGTTACTTTTCAATATTATTATTGTAATCATCCATCCATCTTCTATGAATAATAAACACAAACACATATGATGTATGTTTTCATAGTAGTTGAGGCATGAATTGTTTCGAAAAAAAGCTTGTCAGTTATAAACAAGTATAGAATTATCCCAAATAAACATGTAATAAAGTGACTAATTATGTAAACCCAAAATCACTAATCACAATTCGTTATCATACACATACACACGTTGTGTGTGTGCACATAGAAATTTATGAATATGAAAACTGATACTATGAAAACACTCAACAAACAATACTAGTAGATATTTTACAAACAGACAAATAAAAAGAAAAAAAGAAATTATCATTTATATGTGTCTCTGTGTATGCGCGTGTATTGTATGGTTATTGTATTGAATTTGCACAATGGATAAATAAATTACAACTACAACTAATAAATGATGTATGTTCAGGGTGGTGATAATATTTACTTGTTTGTTTGTTTATAAACATAGTAGAAAAGAAAAAGAAAGAGAGAGAATCACCATTCCTCCCACCCTTATTCTTAATTATCTCTGTTATCTCATCATAAATGTGACAGAAAAAGTATGATTTACGACGAGAGAGAGAGAGAGAGAGAAAAGTACAAATCGCAACATACACATATATACACGCCAGCGAAAACACAACAATGGGAAAATATTGTTACAATGAATTAATTGTCGGCTCAGTTAATTAAATGAAACCATGTGTATATATGTAAAATGTTTATGAAAATAGATCATAGTAATAGTATTAATAATAATAACATACGTAAAATCAGATAGACACCTAAACAATGTCGAACGATAAGTAAGAATAACAATGCTAATAGTTAATATTGTAATCAAATATTTCACTAAGAATAAATTAAGAAAACAAAAAGAATCTTGTCTAATAAATCTGAATCTAATTAGGGATCATCTTTTACATTTTATTGTGTATAACTTGTTTCACCTCACATACTTTTGATCGGTTTCGTCCACTAGAATTATCCTTTGTTAATTTTATTTTTATTCTCTAATAATTATGAATTATATATGATCATTATATAATAGTAATATTGTGGAACAGGGCCTAGAGAAAAAAACTAAGCATGATAATGATGTAGTTCTCTTTGTGTGTGTGTGTGTGTTTGTGATACCAACAAACATTAGACAGGTTGTTTTTCATTAGTTATATGTTTAGATGACGATGAGGTTGATAAGCAACAGTTGTTGTTTTGTTTCTTATTGTTATCATTGTTATTACTTTCCTGATGTTGTATATCTAGGGATGAATTCTGAAATACAAAACTAGTACTGGTAGAAGTAGTAACAGGGTCGACAGTAGTAGTATTCATTATTGTATTCGATCGGAATGAGTTTTCTTCGATAACTGTCATTTCAGTGGTCGGTACAATAGATTCTTCAAACGTAGTATTATTAGTTAATATTGTCAATGTATCTGCCGTCGTGGTTGTTGTCAACTCAGAAACAGAAGTACTAGCGATAGTGGGCACATCAAAAATCTTCGAATGATGATGTGTTAACAATTCTTCTGTATTACTGCCTTCTACTATTTGTTGATCTAAATCACAAGATTCTTGATTAGATAATGATAGCAAACCTGATGCAGAGAATAGATCGTCATCATCATTATAATCAGAATTTTTATGTGTACCACCATCATCAACACCAGCACAAGTAGATGATAATAAACATGAATTATTGAAAGTTTCTTTGAGTTCGTGCACAGATGATTCATTATCATGTTGTATACAATCTGTATTATAATTACTGTTTGGTAAATTCCAATTTTGAAACTAAAATTGAATATAGATATTTTTTAGAAAAGAAATATTAATAAAATAAACGTTTATTTACTGCAGGAAAAAAATCATGAATTAGAATAAATGAGAAAATATAAGAAAACTTTATTATCTATCAGGAATGAATGCGGTGTCCAAAGAGAGAAAGATAGGAGATTAGTGGCTTGTAGGAAAAACTGCACACACACATATATATATATATATATATATTTCTGGTTTCATATTACATACGTTTAACAAAAGAGACAAATAGAGTGAAACTACGATTAGGCAGAAACAGACTAGAGATAGTATTTTAGAAATGACTACCTACCTTGCTAGGATCAAAACGACTTGAGACACTACTGAAAGCTAGGGACCACTATGCAATTGTTTCGTCTTAGCATGGGACTCCGCAGAAGTACAAAAGAGTCGTCCGGTACAACACTGTTTTTCAGTATTACTATCCTAAATGAGATCAATCCCTGACGAATACTACACACAAACAATTAGATACTAAAGTAACGATAACAGTGAGGCGACTGATTACCAAGTTCATGTACGAATAAGAGCTGAAATACTGATTTTTTTTCACATATAACAGGACATAGTTTGATAACTTTTAATCACTAACACTATACAACGATAATAAAAACCTACCAGAAAACAAGGAGAGGGGAACGAAAAAATGCAGGCAAATATAAAAAATTGATTGGAATGATTATAATTACAGTTTTTACTTTATAAAAAAAGACGAAATGACCAGAGTAATCACACACAATATCCTTTTCTTTATAACAGGAGAGTACTTATCACCACGTGAACGAATGAATAAACAAAGCAAACATGTGCAATGTACTTATGAAAAAAAGAATCATATATATATATTTAAAAAGTACATAATTACGTTGTTGTTGTTGTTGTTATTAAGTGAACACGTTTTTTTAAATATCTCTCTACATTTATCGAAAAAAGGTAGAGGAAAGAATAGAAAATCATGTGTAACACAATACACTCAACATAACATACAAACATCAGAAAACTAATTTATTCTATAATGGTATTATTATTGTATACACATATATTACCTATACAACACATAACATTAGGAAGTACTATCATAAGCATACACACAAATATAAATAATTAAGAATAGTGTATACGAAATTATTACAGATTGCACGAATAGATAGATTCGTGCAAACAATAGTAATATAACCAACTAGAGAGAATAGTAGTAGTATTAGATGAAATGGATGGAAACGCATTGGAAACTATGACCGGCCAGTAGCCCACCTTGTTGAAGTTAGTATTTAAAAGAGGAATAAGATCAGATGAAATCTCAATACAAATTGAGAAAATCTAATGAGCTTTATATCAAATTATATAACTTTTTATGACACATGAGACATATTAATTTTTCTCTTAGTCAAAGGACAAGTATATCACCCAATAGTTTGTTCTTTGGTATTTGATAGTTGTGATAGTCGTGGCTCTTTGAAGAATCAATGTTCATCAGGCCAAACCCATTTACTATTATGGGTTTGGCTTGATATTTTCATCTCTGTGCTAATGGGGTATAGCAACTTGAACCGATGTATATACATATCAAGTTCAATGTTGCGACTGACTGAAAGGGTGTTTGTAGGTTACCAGTGTTTAATCATACATGTTTTAAAAGCATTGTTCAGGTATGCTGAGAGTATTGAATGATCAATGCTGAAGTTAGACGTAAAATATTAGGTGGCGAATCGGTTGATCAGTTAGTAAATCCTCATTCACCAAAATGGTTGGGATATGTGTCACAGATGCTCAAATACTGCCTATCTGTGTGTGCATTATGCATCCTCGACCACTAACTACTTCAATGTGTGATATTTGTTGATGCAGGAATATGCCAGAAGAAAATCATGAAAAGCTAAACCGAGATGTCACGTGAGTTTATAGAGCCACTAACTGATGTGATGGACGTCAACCCAGTGATTCTAAAAGTTAAGCATTTACTACAAACCCTGAAGGTTCTCAGATCGATCGCTGATAGGGTTATAGGTGTGCACTGCAGAGGAGCTCCATACTAGGATGCAATGATTATAAAGCACTCCCTAATTTTCAATAGTATACCAAATGAGTTCAATTTGTGACCAATACCATTTATCATAGGAATAGCTAACAAAAATTTATTTAATTTAAATAACAACAAACCTGCATTTCAGACTTTGTCTTGTTGGAACCATCATCATCTGTCGTATCAATATCATTATTATGATGACTATTCAAAAGTGCTGATACAAGTGGGTTAGCGAATAGAGCTGCTAATGCTTCTTGTTGTTGTAGAGGGTTTCGACTAACTGAATCAATTGGTCCACTTGGACTAGGACTTTTCATAGGTGAAGTTTGCATACACGTTTTAAATTTCTCACATGGATTTGATTCTGATGATAAACTTTGAGCATAACAACAACCGGTACTCTGTTCACTGCTAATATTATTAATTTCGGTATCAATAAATAATGGTTTAAATAAATCAGTCGAAGCTGATGGCGATATATTCAATGAATGAAATAAACGACGAATTACACCAAGCGAATCACGTAAATGTTCTGTAACAAAATCTCTTTGCTTTTTTAAAACTTCCACTTCACCCTCCTTCTACAAATTGAAATGAAAAACAGAGAATGTAAAATTATTAATAGCAATATAATTGAACCCCTGTGCATGTGTGTGTAATTGTTAAATAGTGGACAGAATTTCGGTAGTTTTTTTTTCTTTGGGCTAGATGGCTTGGTCATGAAGCTTTCGAACTTTGCCATATATGACCCTCAGCTTTTCCTGTAGACCTCGGTCTTGATTGGTTATTGTTGACCCTTAACCTGTCATCGTTCACTTCTTTATTTTGATTGTATCTCCCATTTATTTGATTCTTGGCCCTATTTGTCCATAATTTTTCTGATTTGATAGATTGGATCGATTTCAGTGTATTTGTTGACTGCTGATTGACCTGAGTGCCAAGCTTTTAAAAATTCACTGGTGTTTTTAGAATTACCTTTATCGAAGGTCTCGACATTTCCCCAATCCAATGGGTGTCCACATACACTGATAAAAGTGAGGATATGCCATGCCATGACATCAGTAGAAGATACAATCAAAATAAAGAAGTAAACGATGACACATTAAGGGTCAACAATAACCAACCAAAATCGAGGTCTACAGGACAAACTGTGGGTCACATGTGGAGAAATTCGAACACCTCACTTCTACACGAAGTTTATGCTGATGATGTGGTTCAGAAGAATGATGAAAGCTCCACGACCAAATCATCCAACTCAGAGAACAAAACTCAATCAAAATCATCCACCTGAGCTAAAAATCTTCACCATATCCAGATGAAATTCTGCGCGATCCCAATTTCCAGAGGGTAAATGCAGTTCAACATTCCTAGAGAGAGCTCAATATATCTAGTTAATTTTGAATATTACTGTATAAATTGAGTTTTTGTTCTACTTTAATTTTTGACTCCTTTTCTAAATAAAAAACTATTCTGAAAGTCTCAGCTTCTTTATCATATATTAGCACGTGCAATATTGATGTTGAAATGTTATTGTGTGTTGTTCTATTGAGTTCGCCATCGAACACGTTTGCATAAGAATACGTTCAATCGTTTCGTATCATAGGCCTGTACGTAATCCAATTTCAAAATATAACACCAATAAAACTAACGCAGATATTCTAACCTACATATGATTTAAAACCCACTACACACTTGATCAAAAGAGGTTTCCAAACGATTTGCTATGCGAAGTACTTACTAACCACTAAAAGTTATCTATACTTGTAAAATGTAGATTTTTAAATCAGGTGAACTATTTTTGTAGTTTTGTCATCTGAGCTGGATGGTTTAATCCTATTCTTCAGAGCGAAAACTTCTACTTCGATAAATTCGCGACATTGAGCGATAATCAACGTTCGACATGTACACTACTGAATTCCTTCTCAGTGACCCAGAGGTTAAGTGTTCACGCGCAACACGAAAGTCTCAAGTTAGATTCCCGGTTGTGAGATCGTGGGTGTGCATTGTCAATCAGGAGTCCTACACTAGGATAAATATCTTCTTCTCGGTTCGCGATCTCAACAACATTCAACAATCTCTACAATCCTCATACTGATAACAAGTGAATTCGATTATCATCCAGTCAAGTGGTAAATACTTGCATATTAATGAAAGCACAGGTTCTACTGTCTCTCAGACAGAAGCGAGAGGAAGAAACCTGGTACCATATACCGCTTGTTTTCAATAATCGTATATTAAAATAAACATGAGGAATAAAAAACCCAATAACTTTATTTATGTAAAAGTTACTGGTCTGATACATATGTTATCTGAATGTGTCTGTTATGGTTTATTGAAAGATGAGGTGAGTATTTCCTCGACTAGAAAGTTAATCTGCCAAAACTTAAGCTAGTAAATATGAACACAGACAAAAAAATTCAAAACACACAAAACGTGACTATGGTGATGTAAGACAACTTACTGAATCTAAAAGTTGTTTTACTTCATCTAATTCACGACGTAAAGTTATACGCTCTAGATCACAACCTGGATTACTGAATGGAGACGATAAAAGAATAGGTGACTGCGGTAAGTTGGTAAAGTTATCATTTATTGAATGTGAGAAAATCCTAGAACTTGTTCGAGTTCCACCAAGATCCAGTTGATTGGGAGATGAAGTTGAAGACACATTAGAAATACCACCCTGAGTTGAACATTCTGAATATTGTTGTGATCTAGTTGACTGGTTATTGTCCGGTTGGTCTGTGGATTCCGATGTCTATATTTGAAAGTTACAATTTCATTAGATAGTCAGATATTAGGTTTTGGAATATGACGATGACAAGGTTAAAAAAAAAACTAAGTTTAATTAAATTAACACGACCATGATCATATGGAACACTAAGAGCTATGTGGAATGGTAGCTCAGAGGCTGATGCATGCGACTTTCAGCCATTAAGTTGTAGACTAGAACCCTGCCCAACTTAGGGGAACTGGATAGTATCACTAGTCTTTAAACGTAGCGTGGCTCGTAACCAAGTATACAAATCTGTACTTGATAAATGGGTTGGATACTAGATTCGATTTGGCCATAAATAATATTGAAATATGAGTCCCAAGCGATATAGTGTCGATAAAATTTATGGCACATTTTTTTAATCCTTCCCTTCAACTATTGGTAATTGAACCTGAAATGCTTTCTTAATCAAATGTTAAACTAATCAGGTAGAACATCAGATATATACAAGAGTTGGAAACTAAGTTATTTATAAATCATTACTAAAGAAAACTAGACAATGTATTGCAAAGATTATTTAATATTGAGATAATAATGAAAAAACACACTTGAGTAAGTTGACTGTAATAAAAAAGTATACAAAACAGTTGTAATATATTATGTCCTAAAAAAGAAATATCAATTTCAATATTACATAGATGTGAGTAGTTTGACAAAATTTCATTACAAGTAACTTATGAATGACTCATTAATTCATAAATAAAGTCAATAGTGAAAGTAATTTGTATACAAAAACGCAGATACAAAAACTAAATGTGAATAAAATTCATCGTGAAACTGACTACATATGCCTCAGAGTTTAAGAGATTGAAAAATCCAAACTACTAAGTTGTTTAAGGGTTTTGGAGACTGTTAAGTTTTTCATTCAGATCATGAACCGATTGTTGTTAGATCACCATTTGTTCCTCACAAAATCTGGTATACTGAAACTGTAAAAATGTACTTATTACGTACTCTAATGAAAACCGACCATGATTATTAATAATAATAATAATAATAATAATAATAATAATAATAATAATAATAATAATAATAAATAATAATAATAATAATAATGGTTAGGTAGGATGTCACAAAGTTGGCCTTTATTTTTTCTAATAAATATCGATTATAATCAATAAAGTCAACGTAAATTGACTAAGATTTAAAGTGCATTGTTAATATGTCTCTTTTTGCTAGTTTGTCTATCATTCGCTACGTATTGAATAGTCCAATCAACTTCAAGTAAATTGAGATAAAATGGACAGTGAAGGACAACGATAACAATAATAATAACGAAATAAAATAACCTTCAAACACAAGATCACATGACCAATCTGTTATTATCACTAGGACGTTAATAGTAATAATAATTGTGATCAATAATTTCATCAAGGATACGAAAAATAAAATGATTTCAACTAAAAAAACAATATTTGTTCGTATGTGAAGTAAAAAAATAAAAAAAAGGAATCTGTTTTGAGTATCCGGAGTTTAGAAAGGAAAATAAAGTTGTATGATTTTATATTTATTTAATAGATTTTGTGGTTTTAAGCAAGCAATAACGATAGAAATATTATGAATATTAAGGAGAAAGAAAATAATACAAGTTATTATTGTAAGAAGGATAATAACAATTGTTATATTCATAGTTTTAATCTTTCATTATGTGAATGTCTGATTGCATATGCTTATTAAATATCTTAAAACATAAACATGGACTTCAGAGAGAAAGGAAATGTCGATGGAAGGATTTAGATGATAAAACATTTATTTTGTAAATAATCATCAAAATTTAAACGAGTAGTATCCAGAATAAATTGGGCATTAAGTAAAGCAGAAGTTTCATACATATAGTTCCCTTTATTATTTTGAAAAGAGCAAGAACAAAGATTCTAGTAAAATAGTATGAATCCATTTTTATAAGGTATATATTTACAATATTCAGTCTATTAATTTTATTTACACTCTTGCTATACTACACGAATATGTATTCAATTTAACTTCCAACAAAACTCATTCATGTAAGTAATTTAAACCCATTATGTAATTATAATTTTAAATACCACAGGTTGTAAGCAGCTGACGAAAACCTACGAAATAAAAAAGAATTTATGCTATCCTGCTAGAATCTTTGTTCTTGCTCTTAAAGTAGGAGTCATTAAATATAAAGTTTTATAACTATGCTAAGTTAAAAAGCTCCAACAGTTTTAGGTGGAACTGTTTACAGTTCAAAACCTGGTATTACAAAAAATGTAATATTATATTTATGCTTTAGATAGACAGACACGGGTGTCATCAACATAGAGCATCGTTTCTCAAGGTAGGCGGTAGTTAGTCATACTTAACACAAGTCCTAAACACCTCAGTCAATGAAGACACACTAACTGACCAAGCGACTTTTTATCTTTGTCAAGTGGTATACGCCTAACTTCAACCAGTGCTCAATCGATGATTTCACGAAACACGAGCAATACTTCGAAGACAGCTATGATTAAAAACTTACAGACTACACATGACTTAATGTTTAGAAATATGCATTATTAACATAGAATTTTACACTGTGGAATAAAATAGTCCCGTGTACACAGTTATGTTAGTTCAAGTGACTAATAAAATTTCAGTATAATTCAGTTTACAAAAGTATTTAAGTAAGCCATCTAGTCGGTCATTAACAGACGAATGACTTAATCACTAAGCCATCACCCCACTAATACTCATGAACACCATAGCTATATTGATATAAATTACTTTAAAAGTAAGTCACAGGATTTAATAAAACCGTCCAAACCGTTTCACAGTGAGCTGCCCGTAGATTAAAAGAGAACCCTGATTGCCAACCAGTAACATGACTAGTGGTTAGTTTATTGTGATAATTGAACAAAATAACATATACGAAGAAACAGAAGTGGTTAATCTCAATGAAATGGATTAGTTCATTTAAATAACTTTATAGTACCACAAAATTATATATATTGTGTACGAGATAGTAATGTTACTACTAATACTCATTTGACCTCGATTAATGTCTTCAAAATAACTAGTCATTTAGTCATAAGTAACGTAGAACTACGTGCATGTACGCCCCGGTTCAATTTGTTACGCTACATCAGCACAAAGATGAAATTATCAAAATAATTACCAGAGTAGAAGTAGTAACAGCATCAATGATAGTAGGAAACATTAGGGACAATATTATTCGAGAAAAAACAATTGTTTTGTGGAAGTATTAGATAATTTTGAAACTGAACATTTAAGGAGAGGCAGGATGAATGCATCCGTGTCACTCAGACGTATTCTAGGCTTTCTCATCTGACATCATCAGCTATCAGTTACAATGGTAGCGCGGACCCCAACCAGATAGTCTGCAAATACCAACATGGTTCATTTCGACAGTCGATAATTCTATGGACTGATGGCGCGTTTTAAATTGCCCATCTCCAGTTTTCTTTTAACCTACTTCGAAATCAGTAAACATCCCGTATCGAGGTAAGTGATAGTTAGGCATTGCATAATAATGTCTCAACTTAGTTGATGAGGATCCCCAACTTCATCATATCCGAATAACACCTTCAGTTTTCCCTTCGAAATTGTAGCCTAGTTAGTTAAATAATAATAGAATAACAAGATCAATACAAATATTGTGATCAAAACAAGAAAATGGTGAATATGACAAAAAGTAGAACTAACCATTGAGTGATGAACACGGGAACCAATGGCACCAAATGATATAGCACTGGTAGAACTACTACTAGCACTACTGGCTAATCCAGAAGCATTTAAATCGACTCCTGCCGCCGCCGAAATTGGCAGATTAACGCGTCCAAGGGGTGTACCAACAATTGATGAAAATCGATTATTACTCTTACTACTTAGTGATACTGGAGAAGATATAGGAGAACTGTGCCGATGATATCCAGTTTCATCAATAAAAGTTGAAGGCCAGCCTACTATGTGTTGATTTGATTTGATAAAATTACTCGATCGAATAATACTACTATTACTACTACCAACCTGTTGTAAATTAGTCGATTGCGCTGAATCATATTGCGGTAAAGTATTATCCGATTGACATGTGATAGAATCCAAGAATTCACAACGCATTTGTAAACTTTTTATATCTTTATTATTATTTCCTCCCCTACCAGGTATACTAACTGGATTTGATGCGTAAAAATTTGGCAATGATGAACAATCACTTACACCAACATTACTACTTGTAGTGACAGTAACTAAAAACGAAGAAGAATGATGATGACGATGTTGAGGATGATCTAGTTCCTCGGAAGTAGAATGTGTCGAAATGAAACCATCATCAGATGGTGAATGAAAAACCATATCTTGAGAAAATGTTGGGTAAACTGCATTAATATCATCGAAGAAAGCGGTGGCAGCAGCAGACGCAGCAGTGTTAGATGAAGTATGTTGTTGTCGTTGCGATTGTGTCAATTGAGATAATAGATCGACATCGAGATTACTGTTTAAAAATCCACCACAATCTATAAAATAGAGAAATACTTATGTAGACACGCATATGAGGATGATAACTATCTTTTTTTCAATGTTTAGTAGAATTGCAATATCTGTCATTTTCAAACATTTTTCTCGCTTGTTTAACGTGTCAGACAGCGTTACAAATAGGTGTAATTTTTAATGGGGAATTCAATCCAATTATTTAAAGCATTTTATATGTCCCTAATGAACACGCCACTGTAGCGCGTCCCGAATTGCCAGATGAGAAATTCAAGTAAAGCAAACTTGTAGATTGAAATGAAACCTCTATCGAAAATTATGTTCTTATATTTACGACTCATTGACTAAATGAACAGAAGAATATTAGATATTTCATAGATATTTGACATAGAAAAGTAAATGTGCTACAAACTCATGGACACGTATTTTATCCCAAACAATCATATAATTTATAGCATATTATTATTAAAATAAACGGACAAGAAATGTACAAAAATATATACATATTTTATAGACTGCCATAATGGAGATGGAAGTGAAGACAAACAGTGAAGCAGAAACCTTAGCGTCAGTAGTCCTCAACATACACAAGGGAGAAAACCAGAATCTCAAATACAACATGGGGGACACAAACCCAACCACACATAATGGAGAAACTCTGGAAGATGGGGAAAGTCTCACGTACATGGAAAGCATCATCGACGAACGTGGAGGATGTGATGCAGAAGTAAAGGCGAGGATTGGCGAAGCAAGGATAGCATTCAAATAATTGAAGAACACATAGAACTAAAAACAACAGTCTGCGAACCAACATCAAAGCCAGAATCTTCAATACGAACGTCAAAGTAGTTAGTTCTATTGTACGGAGCTAGAATTTGGAGACCTACTACAATCATCATTAAAAATGTGCAGGTATTTATAAACAGTTGTCTACACAAGATACTCAATATCCGTTGGCCGGATAGCATCAGCAACCGTCTGTTGTGGGAGAGAACAAACCAGCTTCCAGATGAAGAGGAAATTAAGAAAAAACGTTGGAAGTGGATAGAAAATACATTATGGAAATCATCAAACTGCATCACGAGGTAAGCCCTAACTTGGAATCCCGAAGGTAAATGGAAAAGAGGAAGGTCGAAGAACACAGTATGTTGAGAATTGGAAGCAGACATGAAAAAGATTGCTCAGGAAAGAGTTGGATGGAGAATACTGGTGGGCGGCCTATGCGCCTTCATGAGGGGTAACAGGAGTAAGTAATAATGGAGATAATGAAAACTTGGTTAATTATTTCTAAAAATATTTTCATGAAGACATTTCTAAATACAAATACATTGTGTAAACTTATCTACTAACGGAGATGTAATGGTTGACATGACTCAATCGTATTATATGAACAGATATAGTACAATATGATCTCTACATACAGAAAATAATATATCAACTATTCTCTTCAAATACAGTTCATTTATTTTTGTATTTTTGATCAATATCCATGTTGATTTTAACACGCTAATCTTTACCATCTATACCTATCCTCTCTCTCTCTCTCTGTTAATTCCCTTAGCTTATGGATTAAAACTATTGTCTTCTTAATCAGACTTTAAGAACCACAAGAGGACGTCTGACAATTTGCCGCACTTCCTACTAATAAGTCTTATATCTATGGTGGGAGAAAATTTCTTAACTTCAGAAAAGATTCATTTTAAATTAGTGTTAAATGATCTTATATATATCAGAAGGGGTTTTCGTGTATATTATAGTAATGTTAATAGTTGAGATCATGAGTCAATTCAAGCTAGACCACTATGGAAAACCTGGAAGCACTGGACGACACTGCTGAGGAGTCCCACAATAGGACGAAATGGCCTTCCAGTGATTCCACGTTTTTCATGGTGGTCTAGCTTCAATTGACTCATGATTTCAACTATTGAAATTACTACAATATCCACAAAAACCCTTCTGATATGAATCAACACATGCAAACTAGTGACTGGCTTCAAGAGGTATTTCCTGGAGTTATAATGAGAAGCAGTGACCACAGGAGTTCAACTGGGTCTGTTGTGAGATAGTAAATCACTAAAGACAATGGTGGATGTGTCGCTCAATTTCGTGGATTAGTTGCAGTTAGACATTAACAATGTTGGATGCCAGCTGGCTCAGTGGTCTAAAGGTTAAGCGTTCACACACGAGACTGATAGGTCCTCGGTTCGAATCTCCTGAGGCGGGATTGTGGATGTGCAGTGCTGAGGAGTCCCACAATAGGACGAGATGGTTGTCCAGTGCTTTCAGGTTTTCCATGGGGGTCTAGCTTCGATTGACTCATGATCTCAACTATTGAAATTTTAAATATATGTGAAGTTGCATTTCAAATAGAAGTAACGAAATAAAATACATCTGTACAGTATTATGTTAAATTTTGCGCTTTCATCATTTAGATTTTCTTTTAAAAATGTATTAAATAAATAGCAGTTCTATGGGTAACAGATCAATATCATCAAGGTGAAGTTTTCTATCTCATACACACTACTAAATACAATATTAGTGAGCCTAAAGTAGTAGTATAACCTACATCAGATGAGAAGGAGGGAAAAAATTACAAAAACAAATTCCAGTTAAATCTCTGAGAAAATTGCTTAAAGATGAATTTCCATACTAATTTTTATAGTCGTTTTTTTAGTTGAAAGGAATTACCAAAATGATTGATACAAACTATAATAATTAATACTAATATAGTAATCTGTAATAGGAATTCAATTTCTGAAGCACAAGAGTAGTTATGTGTATGCTTCATACACAACTTGTGTACGAGTATAATAGGTGTTTGTGAGAGTGTTACAAAAATTGTCTTAATCCAACAATAATTGATAACTGAGCCTATTAATAAAATAATGGAGAATTTAGGATATGCCCATTATTGTGTTAAACGTTTTAAACAATCACCGAATAAGAACATCTCAATTCATCAAGTTAGGTGTATATACCTACTTAACACATAACGAGGAAAATAGCTGACATGGTTTTCTCAATTATATATATATATATATATATATATATATATATATATATATATATATGAAAATGATAAACAAAGACTAAAGAAAGGACAGAGTAAGAAAAAAGATTAATTGACAAAATTGTGAAGTTACGTATATCTCCGAGTTAACGAGGCCTAAGAAACATATATACAGACATCCCAAAGAACAAAGGAACAATAACGAAAACAATATATATATCTTGCAAATCATACCACAAAATAATAACAAAAAAGTCTGCAAATCAATAACACAGTTGGTGATATCATCATTGTCACGTGACGAAATTTGTAGTAGAAATAAAGAATGGGAGATATAACTGATCCGACTCCATGAAGAATTGAAATCAGAGAGCATAAGACAGCTGTTCTGTTGTACTGTGGAATTCCTCATCAATATGCATCCACAATACAATTCGAAATTCAACCCAACAAAGGCCTGAGATTTCAAGGAGGATATAATACTACTTAGCCAATATATCAAAATTCAATGATTTGACATTCTTAATATTATAAGAGGCATCCGATTCTACTACAGAGCAATAAAATCTTCCTAATTCAAAATGGCTTTGAAACTGACTAACTTATGGTGAAATCATTTCCAAACTATAGAAAATTCTCACGAAACCACCATCTTACTATAGTACATTTGTGCATTCGAATGACTTACAGAAAATTCAGCATAAGAGTGGTCAAATCAGTCAAATAAATACTGAAAGCTCTGGGGCACTAAACATTTACTTTAGATATTACATACTTTTACCTACTTAAACAGGCAAAAATCTCTTTAAAGGCTCAGTAGTGTAATGTATTTCATAGAAATAAATAGATAAAGTACAGACACAAATTTGTGAGGCTTAAAAAGGTCAAACAAAAAATTAATGACAGCACACTGTACAGACCATACAATGGAGCACATTTGTGTACGACATCCGTCGAATCTATGAACTAAAACTGACATTTTAACAGTTGATAAAAATTAAATAGTCTTCATCATCAACTGATTTTAGCTAAACAACCATTGATAAACTAGAAGCAGTGAACAATTGTTCCATTCATATATGGGACTCCACTTCATTAAGTGTATATCTTGGACCTCATCAAAAGAGATCGAATCCAGTACCTTCATACCTCATGGAGAGTTTTCAATTTTTAGGCCACTGAACCGGGATTCATTGGTTTACATGATTAGGTTTAACCAATTAAAAAGTTAACTCGGATGCCTTTTATATCACGATATTCGCAATAGTAATCTAGACAATGCTTACAACGAAAAAAAATCACTACTTTCACACAATCAACTAAAATTAGTTTTGGTTATTTTAAAGAGGGATTTGGAAAAAACCAACTCTTACTTGATTCAAGCGGTGAAGTTGGAGGCAATGTCATATCAAGAACTAAACCACTATCACGACTAGTATCATCACAATTACTAACAGAAGATGTACTAGCAATACCGATAGGCATATGATATTGATCCAAAAAAGTGTTGAAATCATTTTCTGTTTCATTAATCCCATCATTACTATCATTATTACCAGTACCACTTATGTTCATTGTAGACCATGGACAACTAGGCGAGAAGTATTGTTGTTCTGTACTAGATGTCGATTCAAAATTATCCCATAGCATATCTTAAACACAAAAGAAGAATAAGCAAATTTACGACAATAAATCAATGGATTAAGAAAAAACAATCGAATGTAATAAAAACTGTAATAATTATTCAAAATAAAAAGAATGTAACAAAGTAAACACGGGAGTGTATATAGCTGACTGACTATGTCCCAGTGTGTTTTAAATAACGCTGTATTCATTTATTCCATAACTATGCACTAAATACATCAAAAGTAAAATACAAACCTCGAAGTTATTATTTACTGGAAATGATGTAAACGATAACGGAGATGTAAGGAAACAGTCATTATTTTTGATACGATAATTTAAACTAGTAACGCATAAGGTGGAGGAGCGATAAGGTGAGGATAAGTATTAAAACAAACGAAATGTATGTAATTACAACACCTACTAGGTTGTTGTTGCTTTTTACGAGTGACCACATTTTGATAAATCCCAGAGAGCTGTCCTAACAATACAGGCTTGGAAGTAGCCGCACCCATCATACTCTGCTTCTGATTTGGTGTCGGTAAACTAACACCACCGCCGCCAACTGTAACAACAGCCGAGGAAGTAGCAGTTCTATTCAAGTTACCCACAACACAACCACCACTATAAGAACCACATCGACCTGGATAAGTTGAAGTTGAATCCAGATAGGCAGTAGGAGGAGAAGTCAACTCTTTAACATTCATAGAATATTGTCCAATTTCAGAGGACATAGAACTACCGCTACGATGACGACCTTTATTATTAGTATCTCGTGTATAACCAGCTGTTGACATAGAATGAGTTAAAACTACTGAAAAAAATTACAATAAATAAAATTGAAATTATAGTTATTAGTTAGTAGGAATTAAACTTGGAAATACAATAGAAAAAGTGAAAGAATTAAGTTAAATCACCCAAAAATTTTGTTAATAAATCAATGTTATGTAATGTATCGTGGCGAAATGAAATTTGTCAGGGTGTAGAATTGTTATCGTTGAGTCATTAGAAGCGAAAGAACAAATGAAGACCAAAAAAGCTCACGAAGATGACCAAATATAAAAAAGCCGTCAGAAAGAAATGATTTAACACTTGATGAATAACTAAAAAGTTCATATTTACACGAAGTAGGTGATGATAATGTTCTTCAGCAAGACAATAAAATCTTCATACTTACACTACGTGAAAGAATATATTATCAACAAAAACATCCAATCTTTTTCATCACTGAACTTTGAGGGATATCATTTAATGTGAGGGCTGATGATATTCATTAACTGTTCGAACTTAAGTAGATAGGAATGAGATTCGAACGTTTGACCTACTTGGTTGAAGGTTGAATGTTCTAACCACTGAATACATTTAATTTATAGCATCATATCATATCCACTAGTTTTTATGGACACCACTACTTATTAATAAACATCCATATGTGGATTGATATATTAATTGTATAATATCAAGGCACCTACATCAACTAGGTTTACACTAACAGAAAAAAGAACCTGTTTAATGCATATTTATTTTGTAGTCATGTGCCAGTTGAATGTGATTCACATGGTAAAGCAACAAAATGTAAAGAATGATGTCTATGATTGGCACATTATGAACAGAGGTAGACCTACTGAAGATGGATATACACAAACACATATCTCACTATATAATGAAAATGACTAAAAAAGACAATTCAAACATCAATTTGAGAAAAAAAGTGGTCAGTTGTTGATATTAGTTTTACATGCGATAGAAAAGGCTTAACAAAATTTAGTTAGTGTGACGATTATTAAAAACCCAACTGGTTGATTCATTCTTATAGTTATCTAATATTAATATAGTTTACCTATAACGATTTACATTGTACACATGGGACTAAATATTTGATTATATCACGCAATGAAAAGTATGTAACAACCATAACATTTTATTCATTATATCGGATACATTTAAAAATTGTGCCCCCTGGTACGACGGAGGGCGGGGAGAGTTAGCTCTTCCTCTCCAAATGCTTACATATGACCATGCGTATAAGACCACGATCAGGGAAGTCCTACTCACTGCCTTCTCTCGGTAAAGGTGTTGTTTACGAAATCGAGAGGATGAAGCAAGAATGTCTGGGGCTTCAACTGGGTTAGTGGATATACAGGATCTACTTAAGGGAGTTGGAGAACCCTGATTCCAAACCAATAGTGCACATGGTCACCAGGATCCTAAGGAAACAAACGGCATATGAACCGATTGTTGGTCACCGGCTGCCATGGGACTGCATCTCCTAAAGTTGCTCTACTGCCTTATGGATTAGACAGTGGAGCAACGTCTTTCAACTCATCCAAGCCACTGGCACCAAAAAGTCTAGTGTGAGCGAAACAATCTGTGAAGATGGCAGGATACTGACTACTAACATCTATCGATGCTTTGCAGGATGGGTAGAGTTTTTCGAGGGGCAGTTCGACTGATCTGTTGCCCCGGCAACATCGATTAGACTGTCTTACCCTCTATGGCCTGTGACGACTGATCCACCAAATGAGCCAGAAGTCCGCAAGGAACTCCAAGTCCTGAAGTGCAGACAGAAGTAGTCGAGAAGTTCGTATATCTGGGTAGCTGCATAAGTGCTGGTAGTAGCATGAGTTGTGAGATCAATTCACGCATAGTGAAAGCCAGAGTGGTTTATGCCAATCTGGGTCATCTTTGGCACCTTCGTGATGTTAGTCTGGCTGTAAAAGGTCGAATCTACAACGCGTCGGTGATATCAGTTTTGTTGTGAAATCTGGCCTCTCCGAATTGAGGATGTTAAACGACTTTCTGTGTTTGATCATTGTTGTCTCCGAAGGATCGCTGACATCCGGTGGCGACACCATATTAGTAATGCAGAGGTTCGGCATCCTGTGTTCGGGAACAATGACGATAATTCATTTGGTGTCACTATCTTGAATCATCGACTTCGGTGGTTTGGACATGTTCTACGAATGTCGTCCCAGAGAATTCCACATCGTGAATTATTTGCCGATGCTGGAACTGCTTGGAAAGAGCGGGGAAGTGGTCAGTGTATGACATGGTGTCGTAGTATGAAAGAAAACTGTAAAGGGCTGGCTTCTGTCGGTCCTTCACGACTGCCTGGTTGGGGTCCTAGAGACGGTGTAACACAGTGGCTAGAGACGTTATCGGATATGGTTCAGAATAGAGGCAAGTGGCGATCCTGCAGTAACTGTATTTTACTTTCTTCATAAAAAGGACGTAACTCGTTTAACTGAAAGAATTCTCTCTGGCCGTATTTTGCTAATTGAACTGTCTCTTCCATTATTATTATTTGATTATCATACACTAATTTCTATCCGTTATTGTTCTCCCTTTTCTTATACGCACCTTACATTCTTTATCTCTTCACATTCTAATTATTATTATTGTGTGGCGCATATGTAACTGGTGGCCATCTGTACCAATATTTATGTGTTCAAATAAATAAGTATCGCTATTACCCTTCATATCCACAGTATGGCTTAGAGCTAAACATACGAGTATGGAACTGACTGATGATAACTTAACTCTTTTTCATTTCGATCCAGATGATGATGACACTAACACTACAGTTTACATAATTTATACAACATCTAAAAGCCTATCTTTCATCACACGGTTGTTCCTTTCTACAAAAGACAAATAGCTAAATCTGTGTAAACATAGTAAAAATGATAAGAAAAAACACTAACATTGTTCACCATAAACGGTTTAGAATACAATTTTAAATACATAACTTCAGGTCTTTAAGCATTAGTCATATTATTTTTTACTATTTAACTTTTTTAGGGATTCGCATAACTGGCTTCGAGTAATGCTCTAATTATGCGAGGGTGATGCTGTCCGGTTGCCCAAACCGAAGTAGGTAGAATGAGGTTTGAACCTACTACGTAGTGGTTGAAGAAGAACTCCCTAACCTTTAACAAAGTGGTACGATGAAACTCAGCCAACTCATGGTCCAAGGGAGGGGTTGTACTCCCGACTATTCACGCGTGTGATGACAGTAAAGTGTTGTATGATAGTAAAATTGGAAAAGTACAGAGCTAGCACGATCTAAAAGTACTCGCAAAAAGTTGTATAACCGACCTCTCCTAACCAAGTTCTCTTTTTCGTAACTTCAAAGAGAAATATTCTTCTACAGTGTGAACAACTAGGAAGTGACAACCACTTTAGTTCCTCTAACAACACTCGAGAACAACTATATTCTGTCACAGATACACTATGTGAAAATTTTCTATCAAAATTTAATTTATACTATTGGTCATATAATAATATAATCTACATAAAACTAAACTTAATAGACAAAAAACCCATCATAATAACGAAAATCACATGAGACAAAAAAGCACTAGTTAAATAGGAAGAAAAAGAAAGTGAACAAAACCATTCAAGTACAAAATAATTGATTATTAGTGCAAAAAAGTGCAAAGGAAAAGAGAAGTACAAAGTAGTAGTAATAAATACATTTTGTTGTTGTTTGATAGGATCGATAATTTGTTTATCACTAATACTACTAACCATCCCTAATGGCCATCACCTTATTTTTATTAGTAGCATTAGCATACGAACAAAAACAAAGAAAAAAGTCAGATCAAAATAACCAACTTAGAGTTTGAACGTTGAAAAAAAAAATCAAGACGACTGACGATTTGGATTTAAAGCCAACAAGCTAAAAGAAATACGCATCACTACAATGTTGTAATGATATTAACCATCACTACCAACACCATTGTCTCTATTATATATACTTCCATATACTGAAGCGTTGAAGTATAAATAAGAGAAAAAAGATAAGTTTACGTTGAGATTCCAAATTTTACCACATATGACAGACTACAGTAGTACTATTTCGTAGTTCCAAAATGACTATTGATAAAAAAAAATAGTACACCTGACCATCAGCTAGGATAGTAACCTAAATATGACTTGCGTACAGTATTTTTAACAATTCGAATAACGAAAACGCTTCTGCAAAATGAACACGACCAGTGTTAATCAGTCATAACATGGGATCTATTGTGCTACTACTATATATACCAAAGTGTATTATTTACCGACTTCTCTAAACAATCTTTTCTGAATGATAACCGGTTATTTTTGAACAAAAAAAACGATAAACAAATTTCTTTCTGAACAATATTTGACAAGCTTACTTACCGTTATGAAATTGGCCAGGTAAAGGACGACTTCGTGAATGTGAAAAGTGAGTATTCTGAATCGGAGAACAAGTTGAACTAACTGCACTGGGTGATAAAACACCCAAGGAAGAGCATGCTCCAATTCTAGCATCTGAATTTGATGGACCTGGTAATTGAGTAAAATGCTGCCTATCATTACCAGGATTAGCGATCAAGTTGAACGTGGGCCACAAACTTGTTGTACGGGGGGATGTACAACGAGCAAGACGACGCCCACGAATACACGATTGATTTGGCGCTGAACCGAGAGGTGATATCACGTTTGATGTCATAGGGTTTGGTGGTATATGAGAACATCTTCCAGAATGATCACTGGTACTAACTGAAACAAAATATAAGGAGAACAATATGTATATTCAAAACAAACAGAGAGCACAGCTATAAATGTTTGAAATCGGATATTATTTACTGATAAATATATAGGTAGATCTTAAAACAAGCACGAGGCAGTTATAACTCCCTATTAAACATTTAATCATAGATTTCTGATAAGATGGAAGAATCTACCCTGTCGAGTATGGAATAAACTTTAGGCAACCAACTTGGCTTTGTTACATTACGCTACGCTATGCAATCAGCAGGAGATATACACAAATATACATTCTTCACCTACTAGGGTGTACATCGAGCTTTAATTCCGCAACTGGTACGACTAGACATTAATGAAGTAAGGTTCTACACTATGGTCTAACTATCTTCAATCCTCATCTAGATTTCCAGGGGTTGAACTTCTACCGGGAGGTTCACTTGTTGACTTAGAATATGCAGATGACATAGTTTTATTTGGTGAAGACGCTGACAAAATGCAGAGTCTTCTGACCACTCTAAGCAACAATGCAAGCATGTTCGGGATGAGATTCTCTCCCTCGAAATGCAAAATGTTGCTTCAGGATTGGGTTACATCGACACCCGAACTAGTGATAGGGAGTGAAGTAGTTGAGTGTGTCGACCGCTTCACTTATCTTGGAAGTCTGATCAGCCCTTGTGGTCTGGTGTGTGACGAAATCTCAGCACGGATACAGAAGGCTCGACTAGCTTTTGCCAACTTGCGTCATTTATGGCGTAGGCGAGATATCCGTCTATCAACCAAAGGACGTGTTTACTGTGCAGCAGTTCGTTCCGTCCTACTTTATGGCAGTGAAACATGGCCGGTAAGAGTAGAGGATATCCGTAGGCTACTAGTATTTGATCATAGGTGTCTTCGAAACATTGCTCGTATATCATGGGACCATCGATTAAGTAACACAGTTGTTAGAAAACGGGTACTAGGTAAGGATGGCAAATCAATTGATGACGTAGTGAAACTTCATCAGTTGAGATGGCTGGGACACGTGTTACGTATGCCCAACGACCGACTGCCTCGACGTGCTATGTTCAGTGGTATAGGAGTAGGTTGGAAGAAAGCTAGGGGCGGCCAAACCAAAACATGGCACAAGTCCATGAAGTCACTGACAAGTGAACTGAGTCATGTTGGTAGGTGTAGACTACCTGGTTGGGGACCGCGAGATGATAGCAACCGATGGTTAGAGACCCTGAATGACATGGCTCAAAATCGTTTGCAATGGCGCAGGTGCATCCACTCTCTGTGTTCTCTCAAATTCTAATCTTCTGAATTCTTCATGTCCCTTTTTTCTCTTTCCAAATTTATTTCACTGGATTATACTCTATAAATAACATCTCCAAACCCTAATCTTCCCTAATACTGAAATGATGGACAAACATTAAAGTCGCCGGTGAGTAGACAACCTAGAGAATGTTTTCTAACCGCACACGACACCTAATCAAGTTTGCTCTTGTGTAAATGTTTTGTATGTTTGTCATTAAATCGAATAAAATCGTATTTTTCTGGATAATTATCCTTGATCTTAGTTTTTTCGACAGCTCGAGTCTATAAATCAGTAGCATTCAGCCACACTGTATCAACACATTTTAACTTACTAGTATAAAGGTTGTGGAGATTATTAAGTTTTTGATTGAGATTATGAACCGATTGATGTTAGACCACCTTTGGAAACCTGGACGGCCGTTTCGTCCTTAATAATCTCCACAACCCCTATACTAGTAATCAACATGTGCTCACTAGTGACTAGCTTCGTGAGGGAATTCTCGGAGTTCTAGTGAGAAGCTGTGACCAGTGGAGCTAATCCATGTCGGGTAGAGACAGGTATCTACCTCAGTACAATGGAAGTTGGTCGCGCAATTTCGTGGATTGGTTGATGTTAGACACTATCACCACTAGATGCCGGCTCAGTAGTGCAGTAGGTTAAGCGTCCGCGCGAGACCGAAGGCTCTGGGTTCGAATCCCACGAGCGGGGTCGTGGATGCGCACTGCTGAGGAGCCCCGAAATAGGACGAAACGCCCATCCAGTGCTTCCGGGTTTCCAAAGGTGGTCTGACACCAATCAGTTCATGATCTCAACCAAAAACATTTTAACTTAATTCATGTATTTTCCGAACTCAAATGTCTTTCATGAAATTCCTTTCGTAACAATATAAAATAAATCATACTTTTTCATACAGTGGAACATAATTCATTCAGTTTTACGTTGGATTGATGAGAGGTTGAACTCTCTACACATAGTAGAAAAATTTTAAAACTGGTACATATGTGGTCATGAAACAATGACAGTAGCACCACTCTTGTTTGAGGTTACCAGAATGAAAATGGAACTAAAATATTGAGATCATGAATCGATCTAAGTTAGGCAACTGTTGAAAACTCGAAAACATTGGACAACCGTTTCATTTTAATATAGTACTTATCAGCAATACGAAACCATTTTCGCGAGACCGGCAATCGAGTCCAGGACCTTCGATCTCACACTCAAAAGTTTAAATTCTAGACCACTGAGCCAAAATTCAATGGTCAACAAGTCTAACTTTAATTAATTCATAAAATCAAACTAATTTTGTAACCATTTTCATAGATATGTAGCTCAAAATGTACATGATTATATCGACAATAAAAGCTAAAAGCAAAACTAATAATCGACTGAATTTACTTGACTTATTAAATTCTATTGTAGAAGAAGGAAAATTTATCAAATGCTGTTGATGGTAATGATGATGATGTTGACTAGAGGTTGTACGTTGAGATATCTGTTGTTGTTGAGGTGATGAAGTAATTATAGACGATAAATTTGAAAAATTGGCGTTTAAATTGGACATTAAATTCGGTGGTAAGTTATTATTACTGTTATTAATACCAGCAATAGTAGGAGTAGTAGTGGAACTAGTGCCTAAAATACGTAAATTACTATTCACAGCACTTGGTGTAGATAGATGAAGATGTGGAGAATAAGCAGAATATTGTTGATTTTCGCCTCCTCCACCACCATGAGAAATCATTGAAATATCAGAAGGAATATGACGATGATATTGAAAAGAACTAGTTGTTGTCGTGATTCCCGTCGTTAGTGAACTAGATGATAGTGAAATATTATTTGATGATAAACTATTATTATTATTATTAGATTCCATAATCAGTCCAGGTTGTTCCTGTTGTACATTTGCAGAAAAATCGCGTCCAATCGACATTTCTGAATCGCAATGTGCAAAGGCACAGAAAGGACCACGTGGACAATAACCAGAATTTAATACATCGTTGCATTTTGTCGACTTATATATCTGATGAATTATATTTAATTTGTAGTTAAAAAGAGAAATAACAAGAAAACAATCGATCAGAGCAGATAAAATGCATAAGCGAAAATTGTAATGTAATAACTAAAAGTTACACGAACGAAAGGCTAAATATTTCGAGAAACTAAGTTATACAGAATGTTGTAGACTTATTGATTGAAACACTCAACTTTCAGGCAGTAGGCTGTAGGCTCAAATCCTGGTCTACCTTCAAAGCCTAGTCAACTTAATAGAAGCAGTAGCATTATTCACACAACCAGAGTGGCTTAAGGTCGAGTACCTGGACTTGGTATATGAGTTAGATTATTATTATTATTATTATTATTATTATTATTATTATTATTATTATTAGTAGTAGTAGTAGTAGTAGTAGTAGTAGTAGTAGTAGTAGTAGTAGTAGTATACGACTGTGGAGATTGTTGAGTTTTGATTGAGCTCACGAACCGATCAGTGTTGGACCACCATCAAATACCCAGAAGCACTGTTTGACGGTCGTTTTGTCCTAGCACGAGACTCCTCAGTAATGCGCATCTATGGTCCCGCACGTGGGATTTAAACCAAAGACTTTCAGTCTCGTGCGCACACGCTTAACCTCTAGATCGGTGAGCCGGCATCCAATGGTGTTAATTATTACTATGTTATTGACTGAAAATTTACCCATAAAGTCGGATTGAGTGGGACTATTACTTATGGACGACCCAATCCGATTTAAAATAGTGATTCTTGGATTTTAGCATGAAATTCGTTCATACATATAGCTAAATAGAATTTTAGTATTACAGATAATGACAGTTAGTCATAAGAACTCTAACTCTAATTTCTGATCGTAACTTTTAACTTTACCTCCTAATACTAATGCCTCACAAATTAATAACCACGTTTCGATCCTAGTAAGTGGTTGCAGTTTTTCAAGGAAACTTTAGTACTACACGAAGATCGTCCACAAATCACAGTCTCCCCTGTCTTGTCTTGAGACAACTTATTCACGATAGACGAAAAAAGATGAGATGATTTCCAAGCAAGCAGAAAATAAAATAACCATTGGGATATAAAATGACTGAACTCTATGTCGATTATCGACTACAAAAAATGAATATAAAACTACGATTACATAATGACCTAAGGTAGAAATTGATAAGATAATATAGTGAAATGCCAGGGTACGGCCGAGGGTGGGGAAAGTTAGCTCTTCCTCTCCAAATGCTTACATATGGCCATGCGTATAAGACCACGATCAGGGAAGTCCTACTCACTGCCTTCTCTCGGTGAAGGTGTTGTTTACGAAATCGAGAGGACGAAGCAAGAATGTCTGGGGCTTCAACTGGGTTAGTGGATATACAGGATCTACTTAAGGGAGTTGGAGAACCCTGATTCCAAACCAATAGTGCACATGGGCTCCAGGATTCCGAGGGAACTGATGGCGTATGAAAAAATCGGCTAACATGAGACTGCATCTCCCAAACTTACTCCACTGCCTTGTGGATCAGACCTTTAGGTCGAAGGCTCCGGGTGTGACCACTTCATTTTGGCCCCCGGGTAGTATCACAGCCCACACACAAATCAAGTGACATGTGTGACGTATGTGTATTCGGTGCCCCTTTATACTAATATTTATGTGTTCAAATAAATAAAGAAATAGGAAGATATACGAACAGATGTGGAAACAATAACGACATCTATTAGTTAGTTAAACCAAAGAGTTACGAAAAACCAGTGGATTTCTACTAAGTCTATTGCATTGATAGTATTGTGAACCGCGGGGTGGCTGCTCTAATTTCTACCGACTGACCAACTTCAGATATCCCAGTACGACCCCAATACTGTTCACAATCTTCAATATATCAGAATACAAACCGTAGATGAGAATTGTTTATGGGGTCAGGAGAAGAGTAAGAATTTACAGACAAATGCATATTTATACAGTTAGGACTACCGTGAATATTGACCAACAGGAAAATGACACGTGAAATAAATACTGACCAATAGGAAAATGACACGTGAAATAAATAGTGACTAATAGGAAAATGATACCATTTCACGTTCGAGGATAGCATTAGACTTAACAGGATAATTTTTGGGATATTTTTCCGAATATCCCAACAGATAGGTTATCCTAAACTCATCCCATCAGGCTCTGAACACGATGAAGAGCGAAAACAAGTCAGATCTACGTTAACCAAAAGTCCAATGAACGACGGTGAGCAGTTATGGGCAACGAAAGCAAGAAATGTAAAAGGTAGTGGCTGTAGGAAACACCAGACAGCCCTCAAATACCCTGGTACGGCCCAGAGTGGGAAGAGTCCGCTCTCCCTCTCCAAATGCTCTCACATGGCCACGCGCATATATCCTCTGCCAGGGAAGTCCTACTCACTGCCTTCTCGTGGCGGGGGTATTGTTTACGAAATTGAGAGGACGAGAAGCGAATATCTGGCGCTTTAACCGGATTCCAAACCAATGATGCACATGGGCTCCAGTATCCTGAAGGAACAAATGGCGTATGAACCAATGGTTGGTCACCGGCTTCCATGGGACCGCATCTCCTTACGATGCTCCACTGCCTTGTGGATCAGACCTTTAGGTCGAAGGCTCTGGGTGTGGCCCACTAAGAAAACCATCTGCTTCGGTTTGGGCACCCGGGCAGTATCACAGCCCTCACACATATCGAATGAGATTTGTTTGGCGTATGTGTATTTGGTGCCTCCTTGTGCCAATATCTATGTGTTAAAATAAATAAATAAAGACAGCTTTTCAGACTAATAAAAGAAACTGGAATTAAGAAGTCATGAGTGAGACGATCTCAGAAAAAGACAACACTCTTATCTGCCCTCTGTCCAGACATTTAGAACGACGGGCGGAACACTTCAAAGAGCAGTTCATCTGGCCTTCAGCTACCCTACAACTACCCACCATTCCCAAACAGCCTGAATGGAACATTGAAGTAGGTCCTTCGACTCTAGTTGAAGTTTAAAAAGCTGTAACTAGTCTGAAACAAGGAGGAGCAGCTGATCCAGATGGATTGGCTCCAGAGGTCTCTAAGGATGGTGGTCCAGTTTTAGCGATTAGGTTGACTAGTATTTTAGCTAAAATCTGGGAGTTGGACGTAATCCAACCCGACTGGTCGCAATCACTGACTGTTCCAATATATAAGGAGTCAAAAGCATCCTGTGATAAACATAGAGCGGTTGGTTTGACTAATATAGCATCTAAAATACTAGCGTGAAACAAAATAGTAATAGTAGTTACTCGAATATTTGTACGTATAGTGTCTAATGTCAAGTAAAGTTAAAATTACCGTTTAAAGGAGGGAGAGTTGGGAATGCGTTGTAATTAATGATTATTGTATTAAGGAATCCTTCAGTTAAGGCTAAACGCTAGTTTCATCACGGTAATCAGATTACATACTACAAGTCACAAATTAAAAAGGTAGCATTACTTAAATCCAGTTGATGCATGGCATATCACGTTCCTTACAAAGTAACATATCAAAATCACCACCACCTACTATAAATGATACTTCTCTAATCACATACTGAACAACTTTGTCTGGATAAATTTTAGTATAAAAATCAATGCAAATAACAGTAGAAAAATGGAGATTATGTTTATTTGTACTTTGTAAAGTGATATACTTATTATTTAGGAACGATGAACATTGTAATTACCTAAATAGACATGAATGTCATGCACACTGAAGAAAAAATCAATGTACATTATCAAACATTAAAGTACAAAGTATAATTAGAAGTAAATCAATATATACATCATGTGCTTGTTCATTTTCCTATCACGTGCCCTACATAAGATTACAGTTACTGAATGACTAAACTACCAAATATTAGTTTTTTTTCGCAATCGCTCTAATGATATACACGTAAAGTCCCTGTTGATAATGAAATATAATATTTAAAGTTTTCGCGATTGTTTATCTTCAAAGTGAATTACTACTACCACTGCGACTCAGGGAGTGTCAGTCGATTTGTTGTAAATGGATAAATGTATATGTATAACCTCAATAAACGAGCGAAATCTCTTTAAAATTATTTTTTTGTTATAAGACGATCTGAAATGTAAACTAACCAGTTGATAGCAAGTAAAAAGAAATGACAGTGACGATAATTTTTTTCAAAATTATATGGATTGCATTTTCCTGTAGAGCGATATTGAGCATTCACTGAAGTTAGAAATGTAAACTAATAGATGATGGGTTCAGAGCTCGATGCGAGACATGAAAAATCCTGGATTTAATCACAGATATGGTCGTGGATGTAGATCGCTGAGAAGTCCCATACTACGTACGATAAAACAGCTATTCATTGCTTTCTAGTTTTCAATGGTTGGCAGCCAGTGGTGTAACTTATGATATAATTGATGTATTTAACATATAAACATATAAAAAAGAACCTTTTTTGATACCTAAACACTCATTAGTTTTACAAGTGTATGTACAACTTATGAGAAAAAGAGTTGAGTAATTTTAGGAGATAAAATTTCACAGATTGAAATCATGAGTCAATTGAAGCTAGACCACCATGGAAAACCTGGCCTAGCTTCAATTGACTCATGATTTCAATCTGTGAAATTTCTAAACTCTCCACAAACCCCTTCTGATAATAAAATTTAAAAAAATAAAATCTGCGAAGAATTCATCATTTGTACAAAACACAAAATTAATATGATTATTTCGATTTATCTAGCGAATACACATCTATTTATTTGATAAGTTCATTTTGAACTGTTTACCTTTAAAAGTTTTTAACTTTGTTTCAATGAAAAATTCTAGTCTGATTCATTTATAAGGCAATATAATGGGTACAATGGGACAATGAATCACAAACGTTTAAAAATGTGTACTTTACAAGGAGTATGATAGTCAAGGAGTTAATGTTAGTGTTATCGTTTCATTTCAAATGGGATTTTAAACTTATCCAAGTAGATTGGTGGTAACATCTTTGACTACAACACTGAGTAATAAGTTCAAATCCATTGTTTAGGGACACTAATTACTTCAAGGCACATTATAATGAAAGAATATAAGCACAAAATCGGGTTCCTTAACCATTATACGTAACATATATACATTTAAGAAAAAACGAACAAATTATTAACTTACTTCAGGGTGAAATTGTTGTTCTGTTCGCGTATGACAGTAAACACATGCATCGCCAGTATCACAAAGGGTACTATCTTGCCACTCATCACCAGGTCGAACAATAGGACAAGGAGTACTACGATACAAGAATTTATCAGGAGCTCTTCGTTTATCTTTTCCATTGTGATAAAATGGACATGAATAACCTTGACGACACATTCGCGGTGGTTTCTTGCATAATTCAGTCTTATAACAACCAAGTACATGGAACATTTCTGAATAAGAGATTTTTTAGTATAAATACGTTGTAAAGTTAAAATGAGCTTTTAAAGAAAAGGATAGTATTGAAGAAATATAACACTGAGAAATCATTTTGAAAAGATGAGATAACAAGACAACAGCTATTTAGTGATTTCAATAATCAATTTGTAAAGACTATTAATATATAAACTAAGTTAAATTTCATAGCCCTGAGAAACACCTACAGTATGATTGGGTTCTTCAAGTTAATAGTAAAGTCGTGCTGGCTTTATGATCTCTGATTCCAAAAATATGCCACAATTCCCTACCTACAAACATGTCAGCTCATTTATCACGACGATGATGGCTTTCTTGATAAAGCAATGAGGTTTAGGTTGAAAACATCCAGTTTTCTGGACTTGACAGCGATATGCTTAATCTCACCTAAGACTATCTGATTTTAAATGGAATACAGATATATACTATGATAAACATGGTCTTTAGGCTGCAAACTCAATAGTTATTAAATATCAATCCTACGTAAAATGATACAAGGTTTTAAAACTTTCAAATTTAACAAAGGAGTTAAGAACAGGACCAATCATCCCGTCCAATTAAAGATAATTACCATTCCATTTGGGATCTTCACTCAATACTCGCTCTTTTTCTAAACTAGCAGGTAGATTAACAGTGAATTTTGAAGAAGCATCCTGAACTTCGCGAATGTCATAAACAGGTAAACGGATGTCATCAGGGCCATGTGCAAAAGCACAATGCAGACCATTCTTGACACAGGCTCCGTTTTCCATAGTTTCATATATACAATTTCCAGTTTTGAAATAGCGTGGATGATAACGTCGTTCCGTGTCACCAGCATTGCGGTGCGCATACGGGCATCTACAAGAATAAGAAAAAATGTTTAAGATAACTTAATGAATTTGCTTATAACTAAAATTGCGAACGATATTAGCTGGATTGATTTCAAAGATGGGATGAAGGCTGTCACATCCTGGTTCTTCACATGGTGGAAGGATATTTCATGAGGTATATGGAAAAGGAACTGTGTAGAAGGTGGGTCTTGACGACTCAATAGTATAACCGCAGACTCATGAGGCCAGTCATATGACATTTATGTGAACAGGGTTAGCTGGGTTAGCCCCGTACTATTTAGATCTTATTTCGGTGACAAATTGTCCAGTTTCTCTAAGGGTGACTTTTTATAGCCCCCATATTTTGCATCATGGGTGGCTAGTATCACTGGGGATGCTGGTTGTCTTGAAGAGACAACCGGCTGTTACCAAACCTCCGTACAGTAGGCAGTGCGACTTCCGGTGTGGAATTCTCAAACAAAACTTACAAGAAAAAATCAATATAGAATGCCAGGCCAACTTTCAACACATTTTCGTCACATTACTTTGCGGGCTTTCAACCCACTTTTTCAATCAGTCAGTAACAACGTAGAACTTCGTACGTACATACATCAGTTCGAGTTGCTATATCACATTAGCAGAGAGATGCAGTTGTCGATTTAAATCCCGTAGTGGTGTGGGCAGCCGGGAAGTGATATCAACCCACATACCCGTAACAGCACACGAGACCAAGTTGGTCACATTCAAACCCACTTCCTAGCATATATGTTTACTGACAAATACTCAGTCCACAAATTATAACCATTGTAATCAATATATGACCGATTAACTTAATTTTATTCTTTGATTCTTTTGAGGTCTTCATCAATACATTTTCTTTACATTTTACCTATTAATCATTGCGCAGGGGATATCTTTAAAACGCTATGCATTAGTCCTCTGGTCTACGTAATTAGCACAGATCTTGTCTCATACTGAAAAAATTTAATCCATAATTAGTGGCTATTCGATTCACGATAGACTGACCTCAGATACTGAAGGGAGTAACATGTGGAGACTACTGTAAGGTCTTCTAATGCGTGACCGAATAATTTATTTTCGTAGCATAATATCTGGACGAAACGAAAATTCGAATTTCTGATTTTACTAAAATCTACCAAACTGAGAAGACCTACACTGTTTAGGAACCGAATACTAAGTCATGTTATCGAATATTTACTGAAGGCATCCAAATGGGCAAATACGCGTATTCCATTGGACATAAATCCAGGACTGATTTATGGGTACAACTACCATATATTCACTATCAGTCCACCGAACGAGTGCGAACATAAGGCTTAACTGTGAGGCTCAGAAGGAAACTAAGAGATATAAAGACAACTGGTGGTTGCTAGCTTAAACCCATTATTATCATGGTAAAGGTTTTACAGAACCAGTAAATTATCGTATACCTCTGTCAGTGGTGAGCCCTGACAGTATGGCATAATTTAGAATTAAATTAGGATTGTTGTACGTTAAGATGGTACTACGATTTATATGTAGTGACTGGTTACTTCAGATAGTTGTACATTAGTAAGTAGACTTAACAACATGAACAGTTTGAAACCGCCAAAACCGTAAGCAACATTTCAATTCCTAGTTATTAATTCGATAAGCTGAAATCAAGTGCAAAACAAACCTTAAAATGGCTGTTTTCTAAAACCGAACTTCGGGACGTACTAGCCTTGAGGGTTAGATGGTCAGTTGTTGAACGTGCAATGGCTCATGTAGAAAAAACTTCAGATAGGTTTTATTTTTTCCACAATCCATTAAAATTTTATTGCGCATCCAAAAAATTTCAGGTTACCAGTTACAAGAAAATCGAAGTGGGGAGAAATAATCAGAGGCAACCAATAGACTTTTCTAATAATACTTTTTAACCGTTCAGTGTTTAAGAAGGTCTAATTAACCATTATCATAACTATACATAGACTAATTTTATGTCGAGCAACACGTTTACAACTAAATGTTCTGAACAAGATACTATCCAGCTTTACCTCGACTCCCTAGGTCTTTGGATGCAATCACACAAACCTAAATGGATTATGGAACTGAATACGATGTAGCTTCGAACCGAGAGTTTTACTAAAATCCCCACACGGCTACATAGATTGCGTTATTCCGAGAGTTACTTAAACCTTATGGAATTCATGACAAAACAATACCATGAAACGACATGCCTAACGACAATAGTGAAACATTACGCTGCAGTCATGTCATTATTGTGAAAAGTAATGTAGTTTAAGCTTACAGAACTGATTACTAGAAAACTTGTTTACAGGCCTGTAAGTTCGGTCACAGAACAGTGCAAAGGTTTGAATCGCAGAAAATTTAAAGACGTAAAGCATCACAACTTACTCATTTCCGTCAGCACATGACCCACTTGTTTCATCATATTTATCACAGTATACATCCGGATTGTAATTAAAAGTTCCATCAGGTCTCTTGAAAGGCCGCCTCCGTTTCTGGTTTGGAAAGTGCCAATGAAAGCAAGTATAAGGGCGATGAAACTGACACTGTTGTTCAAGAAACAGGAGGCATTGTTGAGTGCGAAATTCGTTTAAATATCTAGACATTCGAGACATACCAATATATAGAATTACTTTAAGTGCCGAGGCTTTTCCTGGCGCATCGTACAAGTCTTTTGCGAGAAGAGAAACTGAATGGCATCATTATTTGTAACCATTATCATTATACTTTAACTGCCAGCTCTGAAGACCATTTCCCAAAACCCCATCCAGACAACGGTCAGCTATGTTCGACCTTGAATCGTGGCGTTGGGATAGGAAACAGACATCGAATGTTGAACAGCTGTGTCAATGGATGTCAAGGTCATTGAAGTTCCAAAAGTTTTTACTAAGATTTCAGTGGTTGCCTATGTATATTTTCATTATGCTAGTGAAAAAGAGTTCAGCCCTACAAAGTTCTCAGCACATTTTGTTTATCTCCCCCAATATTTCTTCACGACTGTTCGATGAAAATCATGTGACTTTTTTTGCATTTTAGACTTGGTTTGAGCAAAAGGTAATTTCTCTTCTATGCTGAAGTAATGCTGCCGATTTTATTAAGTAATTGAGAGCAGGTTTATTTTGGGGCTGCTTTGTGTAGGGTAATGTAGTTGCTGAGACCTCTTGTCACATGATAGAACACTGGTTTATTGGCGGTAAATAAATCCCCTAAAATCGTTAGCTCTCTACGTCCCCGACATTTGATAATGAACACACTAGTTTTAGATGACCCACCCAGCTGAAGGCGATCGGTCACGCATTCACACCGTGATCCACCTCCAGCCAGCCTAGATAATCCATTTCTCGACATATCGATATTCTATCAAATATATCTTTGAACGTCTTCGCTTCTGGCTTTTCATCTCACTGGGTTGTCACGTTTTGCTTATAAAAACTGTTAATGGTCAAGGTGTTGTCAAACACTGAATGCTTGTGACATCTTTAGTGGTCAGCCCGATGTTATCCGGTACACTAACTCGTGAACTGTGAGTCAATTCCTTGTTAGAACTTTATATCTCATTTTTATTTTGACCTTCATATAATCTGACATTTTTTAGTATTGTTGGACAATTTTGTTCTCGTTCGTTGCTTAACTTTATATTCATCATGACCGAAAAGACCCGTAAATTATTTAAAATCAAAACCCTTTCGCCACTGTGATTTAAGCTAATACCATTTTGACCCGACAACATCTGTTCTGTTACGCAAAACCTGATTTACACGAGCACGGCGTGATCGACCCACACATAGTTCCTCACAGTAGTGAAGGTACTACCGATCGATTTCAATAAGTATGTCACACTTAGTATGTTTACTAGTGATATCTTAGAAAATTACGGAACTGTTTAAAGGTTTATTCTTGAGCGTGGAGATTTAACCGATGGAAATAGGTTAGATTAACACTTCAACAACACTTGTGTACGACATGGCTCAGCAACAGACGTGTGACTGCAAATGATAGAGGTCATTGGTCCACGAACTTTTGATGAGAGGCTGTTTAGACAACTTTTCGTGTCTAAGCTTCTCGAACATGTGCAGGCAGTTCTGGTCTCACTTCCAAACGACACTGAAGACTAGCTGGCTGCATCCGCTGGCCGAATTCTGGAAACCACCCGAACTTGTAACTCAGGTTTTCCTAGTCAAAGAAAAACCTCAGACGACACACAACTCTGTCATACTCTGAAAAGTTACCTTAGTATTCATCATGACCATAGATGCTCCCAAACGATCTGTCTCTAGATCGCGAAAAACAGATAACCTTAATTAGTGTTGGTATCATAATAAATGTGGGAAATCTAGACTACACAGCGACTTGAACACCAGAGAGAAGACGCAAGTATGAGGGAAAATACTTTACTCCAAGGTTCAGTTTATTACAGAAAATATAGGGTTTTATAATATTTTAAATGTCCTTGGGTTGCTGGAATATTCTGGAATGCTACTAAACATAGTAGCACTGTAGTAGCCAACCAATCAGAGCTTCCGCATGTGACGTTTCGCTACCTTGATACTTCTGGCCAAGACTCCAAGTGAACGTTGATTGGACGGAACACTTTTTAGTGTTTCTTGATGCTTGCTTGTTCTTCGCACGCGATTTCTGGATCACCCCAACACATCTCTCATGCATATGGCCCCTAGAAATGATAGCAACGACTGGCGTTCAACTGGTGACTATCGGACATTGAATGTGACACCCACTCCTGATCGTTAACCGTTGCCTCACATTCACGATTTGACAGCTACCTTGAAAAGTATAACTATCTTTTCGAAAATGGACGTGGTTAAGGCTTATAACCCAGTTCCTATGGCCGCTGACGACATTCCTAAAACCCCTATCATCACGCTTTTTGGTCTCCACAGAATTCTGCACATGCCTTCCGGCCTAATATATGTTGCACAAACTTTTCAGAGGTTCATCGATAACGTTTTTCGAGGTCTAAACTTCGTACACGAGTATGGTGATAATTTCTTGACTGCATGTCCAGACAGAGAATCTCATCTCCAGCATCTGGACCTTGTCTTCGAACGACTGCGGAAGCATGGCATTACGGTAAAAATTCAGAAATGTCGAAACGGAACTGACTCCTTAGATTTCCTCGGACACGCTATTGATGCTCAAGGCATCCGACCTCTGAGAAGCAAAGTGGTGGCCATTCTGTGTTACTCAGAACCAACCAAAACCAAGCAACTACGCACTTTTAACGGCCTGGTAAGTTTCTATGGAGAGTTCATGCCGAAATGCGCATCCCTTATGAAACATCTAACCAAATAACTTCGTGGAAATGCAAAAATCATCAATGTGGACGACATCGCTAAGAAAGCATTCTCTTCAATTGGGGAACTTATCGCCAAAGCAACAATGCTCATACACCACGACACCGAAGCACACATTAGCACCGCAGTAGACACACCTGACCCGGCAATCGGAGCAGTTTTACAACAATGGGTTAACTACACCAGACAACGTTTTGCATTCTTCTCGAGACGGTTACTAGACACCGAATCAAGGTGAAGCACTTTCTGTAGGGAACTCCTAACTATGAGATATACTGTACGGCATTTTCAACACTATGTGGAGGGTCGAAAATTCACTCTGTTCACCGATCTCAAACCTCTTACCTTTTCTTAAGCTCATCTTTAGACAACTACTCAACTCCAGAGTCACGACAACTGGGCTATACTTCGCAGTTTACTTCAGACATACAACACATTTTTGGAGCAAACAATAACGTTCCTAGGCAGTTTCCAAAGAATCGACCTACTTAAACTCACCCAGCTTCAAAAAGAAGATACTGATCTTCAGCACGAGTTATCTTCTACAACCCTAAATCTAAGTATTAAACAGATGGAAGCTCGTAAGGAAACCTTACTATGAGACACATTTACTGGTAAGGATCATCCGATCGTGCCGGAACTTTATCGACGCAGTGTCTCCAATACGTTGCACAAGCCTTCTCATCTAGGTGTTCATATGTGAAATTATGATCTACCTCGTTACTAGTATTGCTCTAATGATAGACCTAATCCTAAAATTGTATATTTGTCATGATGTGACTATCTAATCTATAAGATCTTAGGTGGAAGTCATATCATTGTCTTCACCGGCTTGTTCTATCGTAACATCGCCAATATATGATGGGCAAAATATTTAGGCTAGAGATAGAACAATATATTTAATATGAATAAAATATTTTAGTGTTACACAATAATGATCACGCCTGTATGGTTGAGTCATGCCATCCGATGAATAGAATTAACTATCTCGGGTTCTCCATAGTCAACCTTTTCTTCGTGTCAGTTGTTGAATGTCTTTTCAGTAATTATATGCTAGGCTTCAAAAGTCGTATTGTTAGGATACAGTGCCACTACATGGTCATATATTAAGAGCATTCTCGCTTAACTTGCAATACAATCTAAATCACATCTTCCTCTAGTTGGTAATGTAGAAGCGTACAGCGAGACTCTAATTTATGGACGAGTCAGTCAGAGGCGTTTTAGATATTTCAAGGTTACGGCGCCAACCTCAGTGCTTAACGCTAACACACGACCGGTTCACAGGGAATTTTGTATGATGACTCCAGAGGCCGACTATTAGCCCGGGACTCTAATTTATGCCCGACCTTTGAACGAATCTTAAGTAACCTTGAGAAATATTAGCCAATCAGCAAACAGTCAGTATAAAGTAAAAAAACATTGTACAAAACCAAGGACATAAAGTGGACACACTTTTTAAAGGTGGTCCAAAAACTTGTCAAGGTTAGAAAGAGGTTCAGAGGTTCTAAAATCGTAACACATGCAGTAGAGGAAATCATCCATATGGCTACAGAATAGTCGGCCTCTAGAGCCATGATAAGGTCTCAAATACTCTTTCAGCCTCGACCATATAGCTTCAATATTGTTTATGTGCACTCCGGTTGTTGAGTGCACAAAATGCGACTTGTGGATAACGACATGATGCACATAACTAAGCCTATGTAGGAGTCTGTACGCTCTCCAAACATCCGTATATATTGTAGTGACTGGTTGCAGCCAGTGTTACTGGTGCTTTTATTATCCAGTTCGCAATAATTGTTGTAATTTGCCTTAGTTAGGAATTATATATGGGGTTTTCATCACGAACTGACATCAGTTATAATGCCAGAAATTTATTTAGCCAAATGGATGAAAGGCTTTCGCGTTAAAAACCAAGATCTATTATCTTATACCCGATTGATTCGTCCACAAATTATAGTCTCGCTATTTTTTTGTTATAGCCACTCAATTATCACGTTTTGTGCAAAATTCACTGTGAACCAGTCGTACGTTAGCATTAAGCACTGAAGTTTGCGCCGTAATCTTGAAATCTCCAAAACGCCTCTGATTGTCTCGTCCATAAATTAGATTCTCGCCAAGTCTAGCCAAGCGTACTTGTTACTGATACAATTCAGAACAAAACTATTAGTCAGTACATGAATTGAAGTACTATGTGAAGTGCCGGCGAACTGTTGAATGTCTCTGATATACGTTGAAATGAAAATTACAACTAAAGCAACAAAATAATCAGTGCATTTAGCAGAAATAAAGAATTGACAATTTTATTGATGATATAACTTCTGATGACAGTTTGTGCTATCATACTCGCTAGTTCCGTGTAAGCCATGTCGAAAAGGACCTACATTTTGGATTATCTGACAACTGCCCAGAT